TTAAGTTTATTTTAATCGATCTGCTAAATTTAAATTAATTTATTTACTTAAAATTAGCATTTATTTCTAGAATATTAGCAACCGTTTAATTCCATATTCTTTGGCCTCATTTCAATTACATTGACATTACATTAAATTTACAATTGACTTCAACAGAAAAGAAATTAAAGAGACTGAAACATATATTCTATGATTTTTCAATTAATTTTTGTTTTTATATGTAAAGACACATTTAAGACATCATAGTTTAAATATATTATATTATGATTATTTCTCTCAGTGCTGCGTACAAGCGAGCAGAAGAGCATTTTCAATGGCGAGAACGAGATATCGGAGAGCGGATCGTATGAGGCGGCGGGCGCAACTTTTGACTACCATCGCATCGATGGAGTGCAGCAGGGCGAGGGGGTGACCGAGTGGATCACCTGCACGGGTCCCATTAGGGATCCTGTCGAGCTGCTGGTATGTCCTTGAAGAAGCCTCAGGGATATTCTCCTATAACTTACTGGCACTCAATTGTTCCCCATCAGGTTTACAGCAATATTCTGAATCCTGGCATCAAGTACGAGTACCTGCTTCCCATCGTCTCGGACTCGGAGGAGAATGAGTTGTCGCTGGAGAGCAGCGATGGCTTCTTGAAAGCAGGGGCCGTCAGCGAGGATGGCAGCTCTGGTAGCAGCATCCGCACGGGCCGCAAGCGTAAGTTCAACTGGAAGGTGGTCGGCTTCAGCGCCTGCACCAAGTCCTGTGGCGGCGGCACCCAGTCGCCGATAGTGCGCTGTGCCCGCGAGAATCCGGTCCGGTTTTACTCGCAGCGCCGTTGCAGTCACTCGGAGAGGCCGGTGCTCAACGAGAATCTGCTGCACTGCAACACGCAGCCCTGTCCGGCCTATTGGCGGGTCGATGAGTGGGGTGAATGTCGTTGTCAGCATGGGGAGGCGGTGCGCCGACGCGAGCTCAGCTGCGTCCAGGAGCTGGCCTTGGGCATCGTGATTCACGTGGACAAGGCCGCCTGCATGGAGGAGCAGCCGCCCAGCGAAAAGCAATGTGAATGCCCCAAGGCCCGACGTCGCAACTCCGCCCGCTATCGCATGCACCCCCATCCCGAGGGAGCCAATGGAACCCATCTCGTACGCCACCGTGCCCCGAAAGTTGTCAGCGATGCGGTGTGGCTCATGTCCGAGTGGAATCAGTACTGTTCCTCGTCTTGCGGTCCGGGCATCCAGTATCGCACCATCTTTTGCGATCGCTCCAAAACCAAGACAGAGCGGTGTGACCCCCGCGACATTCCGGAGAACCGCAGGCCCTGCCAGCAAGCGGCCTGCGAGCTAGGCGAGTGGTTCACCGGACCCTGGTCGCCCTGTAGTGGCGATTGCTTCAATCTAACCCGCACTCGCACGGTGCTGTGCATCAAGAATCAGCTCATCACGGACGATGAAGAGTGCAAGGCCGAGCTGAGGCCGCAGCCGCTGGAGAACTGCTCGCATGAAGAGATTGAATACTGTGCGCCTCGCTGGCACTACTCCGAGTGGTCTGAGGTAATATGGCTTCCCATAAAGTTCCATTCGATTTTTAAACTCTTCCCTTTTCGTCACAGTGCACCAAGAGCTGCGATGGCGGCACCCAGCGACGCACCATCAAGTGCCTGGAGTACGATGACAAGCAGAATGCTCTACGGGAGTCCGCAAGGTGCCGCTATGCATTGAGGGAGCCCATCTATCGCAACTGCAATACACAGAAATGTGAAGGTATTTGACAATGAAATTACAACTATATTATATATTTTTGAATTGCCCTATATATATATTGCTCTAGATCTGAATACCGAACTGCTCCAAAATGATGAGGCATCGCTCTGCGTGGACAACTTTCCCAACTGCAAGTGGGCCGTGCAGGCCAAGCTGTGCAACTATGAATACTATAGGAACAATTGCTGCATCTCCTGCACTCGTCCTTATTAAATCGAACAGAATGTAGCTTTAGTTGCTGCGAATGAATGGAAAATGAAACAGAAAAACAAAGAGAACAAGAACAAGAAAATAACGAAAAACGTGATCTTAAAGCAATTTCTTACATACATATACATTTATATTCATAAATGATCATTAGTAGATACATATATGCATAACTATCAAAACTAGCTGCAAATTCTGAGTATGAATTCCAATTTGACATACGAGTGCATTTACATCTACTAACACATACCGCCTAAGTGCATAAATACGTAAACGAAACATAAACAAAGCAAAGCATTTTACTAAACCTAACTCACACTTGTAAGATGAATGTTGACCTGAAGTTAATCAAGTGCCACACTTAAAGATATTATAGGAAAATCTTTTAACACCCATAAAGTGTCTTCAGTACTATGAATATTCGCGAGGGCTGGACGAAAACCCTGCCCGATCTTACAACCAATATATATATACATATATATTCATTTAAATGAAACAAAAACACAGACACTTAAAAAAAAAAAGAAAAAAAAATTCATTTAAATAAATTAATTTTATTTCTTAAATCTTTTTCTTATTTTCTTAGATTTATCCATATTTTGCATACATCTGTATATATTGTATGTACTTGACAGGGTTTTAGATTATATTGGGTTTGTGCAATGCCCGTTTGCTATCCTCCTACCTGTCCTTAGCAATTTTAACCCATATTCTGAAATTAAGTTTTTATACCCTGAACCCATTTTCAATGGGAAATCAGGGTATAATGGTTTTGTGAAAAAGTATGTAACGGGCAGAAGGAATCATCTTAAACCCCATAAAGTATATATATTCTTGATTAGCATGGCGAGCTGAATCGATATAGCCCTGCCCGTCTGTCCCCCCGTCCGTCCGTCTGAGTACGTCGATCTCATAAGTTATAAGAGCTAGAGAACTGAAATTTGGCATGCATACTCGAGTATACCATACGCAGTATAAGTTTTTCTTTTTTTCGATAACTCATTCGATAACTTTTTTATCGAGAATAATCGAAAAATCGACACATTTTTTTTCAGCCTAATTTTAACACTTTTAGACCTGGCGTTGTATATAAAGTTAATGGATACAAAGACATTGTAATTTACAGATTTTGGATGACAAGACCCCCTCGCCCACTATTTGTAAGAAACGCATTTCAAGTACAAGAGACTTGTACTTTGGAATAAAATCTTTCATAAAGATCTGATCATCTTTCTTAAATTTGATATATAACTGGAGACCCCAAGATAAACAATATAATGTATTTATAATCCAAGCCCATTGAGTGGGACTATGTGGGTAATTATATATCTTTAACGGCGCTAGAGCTAATTTAACAAATTAAGCATCCTATATTTTTACTGACTGAAAATTAAAGGTCCATATACATTAAGGGCGTGGAAAATTTTTAAAGCTAATGCTTCCAGCATTGACATTAGCATTTGAAGTACATATAAAATATAGAATATAGTAAAATATACAATTTGCGCTATATATATAATTTGACAGAACTGTTTTTGGACTGTATTATATAGTCGATCCTGCCCTACTGCAAAATTCTTACCTACCTGAGATTTAGAGCTTTTATCACCTCCAACTGCTCTCGATATATAAAAAATCTATGAATTCCCGCTAAAAATTTTGAATTATCACCGTTTCCTTATCTATTATAAGCACTAATGTATAAACCAACCGCAATAAGTGCAAATATATATAAGAGAACCATTCCATTTGGTGTTATATACGATTATATATTTTACTGAAATCATCTTCTATGACATTTATGTTAATAGTGAGAGAGTAAAGCTCGATTTGTCACGCCGCCAATGGGCAACTTTAAAAAGAGTCGATATTCTATTAACAAGCAAGCGAACATCGTTCAAAACAAATATACTGTTTATACTTCAAATATTTAGTCATTATTCGGTTGACGAATGAACTATATCTGTACGTCTTCCGCAGACTTTTACTTCACGCAATTTCTAAATTTGAGCTAAGCATGCAGAATTTTTGCAAATACAACGAAAAAAGCAAACGTTGTGCTAACTGGTTCAGTAAGGTTTGCGCAGACTGTCGGTCTCAATTCCAAAAAAACAGTGTTGGCAAACGTTTACAGAGTGAAAACGTGCATTCGAATGCTGAGCTAATAAGTGCTGATGAGTGCTACAAGTCTATAAAACGCAGTGCCGAGAATATAACTAGGGATGGCATCCATATTGAAGATATGTGGTGGAAGGTGCCGTTTATACTATTGATATTCGGCTGCATTCTATTGTTATCTATAGGCTTCTGCCTGCTCTCCCAGAAGGCTGTGTGTATAATACAGGAGCGTGTGGATCAAACTGATATTGATATCTGTGACAAAAAAAAATATTATGAAGCAGAGAAGAGAAGATCCAAGCCGGCATGCATTCAACCTTCTGATACTCAAATCAGCATTTCCAAATCTTCCTGTTCCCTAAAGTATCCAAAACCAAGCCGGAGCCATTATGAATGCTCAAACTGAAAAGCTCTTTACCATCTTCTTTTACTACCATGATGTTATTCATATAATTATCATGTTCAAGAACTCCATTAGACATGAAATGGATTTCTGATGTTTCCATTAAAACATTTCACGCAATCACGCAATCGAATCCGCAGACAAACAGTCTTGTGCCAACTAAAAAATACCTCTTGAACAAATAAAAACACTTTATAGTGGTTTAATATATAAGATATAGTGAATTAAATTTTTTTTTTTTAACCAATCGAAATAGTAAGGATAAGTATTATAGTAAGTATAAATATGAGCATGAGAATGATAAAATATAATTAGAATACAAAAATACATCCCTGTTTGTAGCTTATATCTTCTCGTTAAGAGCTATTTACTATTTTTATTTTAAAACTGGACACCCTGTTTGTAGTTTTGGTTACTTTCTGAATACCAATATTCAATTCCTGCTTGACGTGTCTGAATCGCACTTCGGTTAAATTATTGCCTTTCTTTTTGAGTGCTAGTAAAATAGTAAAAATTATTTCACAATGATATTAAGTTTTATAAAACTTTACTTTGATACTTGTTGTATCCATGGCTTTCGATATTTAGTGAAAAGCGTGTTAATCCTGCTGGAAAGGTAGATACTGGTGCACGCACAATACTATATGCAAAAACTAATGTATAATCTCCATAGGATATTTTGGCTTCTACTGCTGATTGTATCAGTATATTTTTGCGTTATCTCTTGCATATCCTCTGTGGAGCGCTTTCATACGAAAAGCACGCACATTGGCTTGGAGCGGAACTCCTATTACTGGAACACCTCGATGCCGGGACTCACAATGTAATTTATCTATATTTAGCAGATGTTTTTTGTTTAATTGCCTTTCTACTATATTTAGTGGTAACGTAATTCAGTTTTACACAATAGATTTTTACATAACTATATTTTAGAACTAGCTTCAGATATAAATATTATATACATTCTAGATGCCCGATGCAGCGCTTGAATCAGTCGCTTTTTAATAATTATTGTCGGTGAGCTTGAATTGAATATTTATCAAAGATTGATTAATAATTATTTGTAATAATATTGAAGCGCTAATAAGATAAAGGGAACTGACAAAACGGAATTTTGGGATTTCCTAGAAAATTTAGCAAATTCCACGTATACAAATTTTGAGAATATACCGGATTACGATAGCATTGATCACACTCTAGATCAGCTAGGTATCAAGCCCAAGCAATATATGGAACTGATTTACAATCTGACTTTTGACGGCACCTATGAACCCATAGAGAAACTTCGCATCCGCTGTGTCGATGGCCAGCTACACCTGAAGACCCGACAGATCCTCACCGAGTTTGGTCTCTGTTATCTGTGCAGCTCATATTTGGGCGAGGAGTACAGCTCGCGCTTTTTAATCTTTGGCGAGTATCCGGAATTCAATAAGTATTTAAATAAGCACCGATTCGTTCTAGTCAAGAAAGCAACATTCTTTGACAAGGATGTCGGCTTCAACCTAATGGGATTCGATACAGACGCAATAGATGTAAGGATTCATGAAAAAAGAACTGGACTATATATCAACAAGTTCTTTTTTCAGAGCTATATACATTCAGCGTTTGAGGTCATGAAGGTGGATAATAACTTTGGCTATTCATTAGAAGGAGCTGCCTACGAGCCAGAGGTTGAGGAAATAATTGCTGAGCCGAATTTCGAGACGTTAGTAAATGATTTTCCGATTTTCTATATAATTCACATATGTACGCATTTCATTCACCAGCGAAACTTCTATCAGTCAAAGGAAATGTCGTTTCTATCACGAATCCAATCTCACGCATTATCCTTTTTATACCAAGAATATTTGCCAGCAAGAGTGTCGCATTAACTTGGCCTATAAGATATGCAAATGTATTCCTCATTTTTATCCCAATCGCAGTAAGTGAATCGAATTTCGTAGATTTGTATTGCTTGTAAGTATTAAAACTCTGTTATCTTTCTTAGTTGCCAAGCCGAAACCAGTTTGCACCTACAAAACACTGAAATCTTGCTTTCCCAGGCATGCCGGTCAGTGAAATATATATATATGTATCATAAGTATAACTTCTATAGTTTAGTTCTCATTTGTATAAAGGTTACTTTCTGAAATTTTACGAAGAAAATGGTCATCATGAGAAACCAACTGGCTGCTACTGCGAGCAAAACTGTATAGACGCTGTGATCAAGCTCAAAAGTGCCCTCGTACGTATGAAAGTGTGAAATCAGGGTATAATAGCTTTGTTAAATATATGTAGCAAAAGAAGGCGTGGCAAACACCATAAAGTTATACGGTTTATGTTCTTGATCAGGGCGATGAGCTGAGTCAATTTTGTCCTGCACGTCTTTGTATTCGTAGGTCTGTATGTTTGAACGCATCGATCTCGGAAGATATAACAGCTATAGACTTGATGTATTTTTTGTAACTTCGAGTTTGTTTCCGAAAATCAATAACTACTCTCGTTTTTATACCCTGAACCAATTGAAAATGGGAAATCAGGGTATGTTTTGTGAAAAGTATGTAATAGACAGAAGGAATCATCGCAGACCCCATAAAGTATATATATTCTTGATCAGGACGATGAGCTGAGTCGATATAGCCCTGTCCGTCCATCCGCATGAATGCCACAGATTTAGTAACTTACAGATTTTGGATACCACGTCCCCTTCGCCAACAATTTGTAAAAAAAAAGCGTATTTCAAGTACTAGTGCTTTGTAATATTCACACATTTTAATTAATTTTATATATTATTACCCTCTGAAAGTTTCATAAAGATAGTCCATCTAAAAGAAAAATTACTAAGATTTTCTCATAATATTGCGCACACTGTAGCGCAGCCCAAGCGCCGTCGCTGCTAACTGCGCACGTGTGCATGTGTATGTGTGCATAAAAGAAGTGCATAATGATTAGAATATCAGCTTGGAGGGTTCAGGGTATCTCCTAGTCGAGTAGTCTCGACTAGAGCCTTCTTACATGTTAATATTTATTTACTTTATTATTAATTTAGGCCATGCGAGGCTCTAAACAGTTGCTTGGGAGTATGGGAAGTTCCGTCTCTATGAGCACCTGGCCAAGGAATCAATTCAAGAGACAAGTCATATTTTCCTTCACAGATTTGTTAGGTAKGTCTGACTGACTTACATATTTTAATATATAATATTATATATAAATTTGCAGTGTCAATAGGCGGTACTGCCGGTCTTTATCTTGGATTTAGTGTCCTGGGCTTGGTAGAATTTATATACTTTTTTACGCTGCGCTTAGTTTGGCAATTACTTGGGTATAAACTTTAAATTTATTTATTTTTTTGTAACATGCTAAGTATTTTTCGCTTTGCAATCAACCTGAAAACTAAATAAAAATAGCAACAAAAAAAAATATTTTAACAAAGTAAAACAATTTCAAAACAGTTACAAACTACACAGAAAACTTCTCATTAAAACAAATTAATTTATATGTAAGTTAAATTGATAACAGTAAACCCAGCACACGTATATCTATATATGAACAAATAAGAGCCACGCAATCACTTCTTACAGGCTTGCAAGCAGCTAATCGCATTGGCTACAAGTGAAGCGCGATTTCCCTAGAGTTTTCACAAACACAGTGAGTCCTTCAGCGTGATAAATTCACTACTATAATGAGGATTATCATTATCGAATTGGCATTTCAGCGGGTTCAGGAAGCTTCAGCAGTCTCACCAAAAACCACTCTTAATTTTCGCTTGCTTTGGCTATTGCCGTGATATAAACATAGAGCCTTGTTTATTGATTTAAAATATATATATGTAATAATGTAATGTATGCACATATGTATGTATGTAAGTATGTACTCAATCATTGTAAATATGAAGTGGCGTCGCTGTTGCTATCAGCTGGAGTACAGCTCTATTTAAATAACCTCGGATCATATAATTTATTGCATATACGAACTACTTAATATTCCACTTAAGACTGCTTGTGCTCTAAATCCAAGTCCAAGTCCAAATTGAGAGAACGATTACAAATTATTCCGCATTTCTTCAATTCTTGCAATTTACCGTGCTGTCCAAAAGAGAAATCGCGAGAGAATAAATTAATATTGATAACGGTGGGTCCCACTGTTTGCATTGCACTTAAAATAAGATTTAGTCCAGTCACGTCACAAATGTCACTCAGGTGTACTTACGTACATTTGTAGCTAACTTATTTTTTGAGCTGAGAGCATTTTGTGACGCCATTTCTGCTCGCTAGTTTGTGACAAACTACCTACCCAAGGGCAATAGTACAAACATTCTCCCAGGCTTAAATGCATCATTTTTGTGCTCTCCCATAACCATTGCATATGTGTGCGTGTATACTTTCATTGGAGAAGAACGTAAGCGACTCAGTGTTCTTTGCGTATGTGAGCACTCTCTTAGACTCTCAGTGTCGGCTTGCAATCATAAGCAGCTCAGTTTGCTTTGTGTTGGCGTTGCGGTCGGTTGGACGTTACGCGATCACTAAGCGCGAATATTGAAGATCCACTTCAATATATGTACATATAATTATTGAATTTTCTTATCGGCTTAAATATACACCAAACTCTCATTCGTACATTTCGTTATATTATCAAAATTAGTTAGCAATAGCTAATTGAATTGCAATGTTGCACAAATTCGGCGGTTGTCTTGCAATCATTTATTTAAGTAGCTTAATTGTGCATCATGTGGAGACCAGGAATATCAGAAGTGAGCCAAAATCGGATGCAGCCGCACAGTGTGGCTATACGGTAAGTCTCTGCATWTACACTTACACACTATATGTATGTATGTAAGTATGTCTGCATGCAAGGGAATTTTCCTATTGTGCATTCTTCACTGATCATCACTGTCCATTTTTCATTAGCATTAGTGTTGAAGGGCGAATAGAAGATATGTACATAGATTGATAGAAATGCATACATACACACACGTATATACATGCATTCTATTCTAATCAAGAAATTGTTACATACATATATTTTAAATTTAGTATATTGTATATTATTCGGTTATAAAAAAGAAGTAATGAAGTAAAAAAAAAAAATGCAAAATACATTCATTTGATACATTCTCCAACAGACCATAGTCAGTTCAAAATCAGCTGATGATTGAAAAATAATCAATAATAAGAAATAACAACAGAAGGCCAGCCGTAATTCAAAGTTGTGCATTTGAAACTAATTGTTAGACGGAAAATGATATTCACATATGACACACATATACTAAGTTAGACTGATGTTTTCCTTTTTAGTAGACTCTGCAAATATCTTAAGCTTAGAGCCCAAACAAAATTTAAATTAACAATAAATATTTTAATCTTAATATTCGTGTCAAATTGTTTTTAAACGTATTTCCTTTTATGTAGTCTCTTCATATATCTTAAGTTTGGAGCCCAAACAACATTTAAATTAAAAATAAATATTTTAATCTAAATATTCCTTTCAAATTGCTTTTAAAAGTATTGGGTTTATCACTAAAGCTAAGGCTAAGCTCGGGCGCTGTATATTTATATAATATAATTCCTTATCGGTGCTGAAAGTCAAGCAGTACACACATATAAACACAAACCAATCAAGTCGTTTATTTTTCAAGACATACTTACGCACACATATATATTCTTTATATTACTCATACATATATGATTTATCAGTTTTCTAGTTGAAAGTATTAATGGAACTGTTTACTTTTTCAGAGCTGCCATCCAACGAAACCGAATATGCTGAATGTGCATATTGTCGCACACACCCACGACGATGTTGGATGGCTTAAAACTGTTGATCAATACTATTACGGAAGTGAAACACTGATTCAGAAGGCCGGAGTGCAGTATATCATTGATTCCGTGGTGGAATCCCTGTTGAGAGATCCAAACAGACGATTTATTTATGTTGAATCGGCGTTTTTCTTTAAATGGTGGAAGGAACAGACGAAAGAGCAGCAGGACAAAGTGAAAATGCTAGTGAACGAGGGCAGACTGGAGTTCATAGGCGGAGCTTGGAGCATGAATGATGAGGCTACCACTCACTATCAAAGTGTAATCGATCAGTTTGCTTGGGGATTACGGTGAGGTCCATCTGTATAAATGGCATCGCTTGTCCACATAGCTAACCGAATTTACTTTGCAGGCAATTAAATGATACGTTCGGTCAATGCGGACGACCACGTATTGGATGGCAAATTGATCCATTTGGACATTCCCGTGAAATGGCTTCGATTTTTGCACAGATGGGCTTTGATGGCATGTTCTTTGGTCGACTGGACTATCAGGATAAGGACGAGCGACTAATGACCCAAAAGGCCGAAATGATTTGGCATGGATCCGAAAACTTGGGCAAGCTAAAAAAAATTACTTATTATTATTTTGTATAAACTTACTTGAAATATTTAATGTAATTCGTAGATGAGAAAGCGGATCTCTTTACTGGAGCCTTGTACAACAATTACCAAGCACCGGCGGGATTCTGCTTTGACATACTTTGCGCGGACCAACCCATCATTGACGGCAAGCACAGTCCCGACAATAATGTAAAGGAACGCGTAAGTCCGAGCCCCTTGATTTGGTCAATCACTGTACATATTGTCTGCCTTTATCATTTTATATGAAACTTGTCCTTGTGCTTTGTCCTCTCACTGATTTACCCAATACTGCATCAGGTTGATACGTTTTTGGACTATGTAAAAGCTCAAAGCAATTATTATCGCACCAACAATATCATCATAACTATGGGCGGAGATTTTACCTATCAAGCAGCTCAAGTTTATTACAAAAATCTCGACAAATTAATACGGTAAAATTATATACGTGTTGCATAGTTTTGTTAACATAAGTTTGTTTGTTAACGAAAGCCCCTCATTTTGTTTGTCCATGGGTTTTTCCTAATATGAAAATGTAATTGGAGTAAATGCTCTTTGTGTATAGATCGATACCTTCTTTGAGTTTGTCACTAAGATGGCCAAAGGTTATCGCACGCCCAACTTGCTTATAACAATGGGTGAGGATTTCCATTACCAGAATGCTGATATGTGGTATAAAAATCTGGATAAACTTATTAAGTAAGTAATGAGGGGCTTTCCTTAACCTTGAAGCTTAATTGTACCCGTACAATTATAGCCACAAACTAAAACTTTTTTAAATACCCTGCAGGTACGCCAATGAGCGACAAGCAAATGGATCAAATATAAATTTGCTGTACTCCACGCCTTCGTGTTATCTAAAGTCTCTGCATGATGCTGGCATCTCATGGCCAACAAAGAGCGATGATTTCTTTCCCTATGCATCCGATCCACATTCCTATTGGACGGGCTACTTCACCTCGCGTCCCACTCTGAAGCGTTTCGAACGTGATGGCAATCACTTCCTGCAGGCTTGCAAGCAGCTAAGCGCATTGGCTCCCAACCGCTCGGCAGAGTTTGATCCGCATTTGAATTTCATGCGAGAGACCATGGGCATAATGCAGCACCATGATGCAGTCACAGGAACGGAGAAGCAAAAGGTTGCCCTCGACTATGCCAAGCGCATGAGTGTCGCTCTGCGTGCCTGCTCGACTAACATAAGATCTGTGTTGAATCAATTGTCTATTTCATCCGATCGTGTCAGCCCACAACCAACTAAATTTGAATTCAAAACTTGTACTCTCCTTAACATAAGCAGCTGTGCCACATCCGAGCTGAACGATCGATTTGCGCTGACGCTGTACAATCCACTGGCTCATTCGACCAATGAGTACGTGAGAGTACCTGTTACTGATTACAAGTATGTTGTGATCGATCCGACAGGTACAGATACAAGTGTGAGCCTTACCAGCAAACATTCCTCATTTAATAAATATTCTTTTCTAGGTAAAAGCCTGCCAACTCAAGTGGTACCTGTGCCAAAAGCTGTGACCAACCTTCAGCACAGAAACTCGAGCGCCCAATATGAACTTATTTTCTTGGCATCCAACCTACCTGCTGTGGGATATAAGACCTATTATATCGAAAAATCTGATTCGATTCCTGTCCGTGGCAAACCTTCAGCTTCGCCAAAGAAAAAATCTAGTTATACTGTTATCGGAAACAATGTAATTAAACTTGTATGCTTTCTTGATGTTCTAATGCTAATATTTAATTTTCTTCTAGAACATTAAGCTAACATTCGATACCAATGGATTCCTCGCTTATGTCACAGCAGACGGAATGACACGCACAATTTCCCAAGAGTTTTTGTACTACATTGCTGCAACTGGAAATAATGAAGAGTTCTTAAATCGCTCATCGGGTGCATATATATTCCGGCCTGACAAAAATCAAATACGCTTCGCCACAGATGAAGTCTCTTTAGAGGTGTACAAGGGTCAGCTAGTGCAAGAGGTCCATCAGCAGTTCAACAGTTGGATAAGCCAAGTGGTTCGCGTATATAAGCAGAGCAATCATGCAGAGTTCGAGTGGTTAGTGGGTCCCATTCCTATCAAAGATAACATTGGAAAGGAAGTCATATCGCGTTTTACGTCTGACATTAAGTCTGAAGGCATTTTCTATACTGATTCAAATGGTGAGATATGGATATCATATTCTATTCTATTATACTAGTTAATTTGTTTTTCATCAGGCCGCGAAATGTTAAAACGTCGGCGCAATCATCGTGAAACGTGGAACGTTAAAATTCACGAATCTGTTGCCGGCAATTACTATCCCGTGACAACGAAAATCGCCTTGGAGGATGACACGGCTCGTATGGCTATTCTGACAGACAGAGCTCAGGGTGGTAGCTCTTTGGAGGATGGTGTCTTGGAACTGATGGTACATCGTCGGTTGCTGCACGATGATGCATTCGGTGTTGGCGAGGCCCTGAACGAAACTGAATACGGCGAGGGATTGATTGCGCGAGGCAAACACCATTTGTTTATGGGCAAATCCTTACAACGTCCCGAGGTTTCTCTAAAGGCAATCGAGCGTTTAGTGCAGCTGGAGACCTTGCTCCCCTCGTGGAAGTTTTTCAGCAATGTGTCCTATAGCTCAGATCAATGGCTGACCTCATTCGCAAACACAGTGAGTCCCAGCATGAAAAATTAATTACTATATGAGGATTATCACTATCATTACATTATTTCAGTACAATGGAATTTCAGCGGCCCTACCAAAATATGTGCACTTGCTTTCCTTGGAGCCCTGGCACGAGAAGGAGCTACTCGTCCGCTTTGAGCATATACTGGAGAAGACAGATGACACGCGCTATTCGCAATACGTTCAATTTAATATTAAGGATGTACTGAGTGCATTTAATATTGAAAATATTCGTGAAACAACGCTGGATGGAAATGCGTGGTTAGACGAACATCGGCGCATGGAGTTTGTACCCGATCCCGAGGATGAGGCATACAACAGTTATGGCACATTTAAGAAATCATCAAAGGCTGTTCATTTGCTATCAGCAGCGAAGCCAATGCTAGAAGCTCGGTACTCGAAGGAAACCCTTGAAGCTGGACAGCTAGGAGCTGAAAGCAACCGAATAAAACGCAATGCCAACTCACGACATTTTACAATACACCGAAGGCGTCCGCAGGAATCCAGCTCGGATGATTTGAAAAAATCTATGCCGTCATCGGAACGTGAAAAGTATCTCATAGAGCTTAGCCCAATGGAGATACGCACTTTTATCGTGTATTTGAAAAAATAGAAATATAGAAGATTATCTAAAGAACGCAATAAATAATCTAGAGCAAATGAATATCATATAAGAAAGCAACAATTATAGATCAGTAGAGAAGGTTCTTCAACGAGCCTGTTCATTACAATTACTGAACAATTTAACAACGCTTGTTTCTTAAACTAAGTGTAATATGATCTTGGTTGCCAGAGGCCCAGCTTGGCAGTTCGGTTTCGTATTCCCAGCCAACTCCCTGAAATTGTATAGATACCATTTAATTTGAATTGAGTGGTTTTTTAGTAAAGCCTACTTTATATTTCCACGCATGCAGGTACATAACGAGGTCCTCTGGGTTTGGATCCCGATAGTTCATTGTACACTCGATGCAATGGGGATCTTTAGTTACTTTACTAGCATCAAAATGCATGTCGGCAGGTTCATGACTAGTTTGGGTCGATATTGTAACCTAAAATAAAAGCATCACATATTTTCATCTGCAACAAATCACACAATTATTCTATAGAAATACCTTAGAGTCATGTGTTGATTTAATTAAAGTTTGATTATCGTCATTTGTATTGGGGGCAGTAACATCTTGATTTTTCGTAGTATCAGCTGCGATTTCCTTTTCAATACCCAACCAATTTTCTGCATTGTGTATAGAAATTAAGTCGCTGATCAATTGATCGTCAGATTTTCCCCCAGTGTCTCCGCCACGACCCTTTAATGGACCAAATACCTCATGATTATACAACGGATCGTTTACAATCGGATAGCCTGAAGAAACATTAGTTATTGATTATTATTAATTTAAAAAATGATGAACGCAATCACTCAGCTTACCCAAATATTGTAAATGCACTCTGATCTGATGCATTCGTCCAGTCAGCGGTTTGCACTGCACAATGCTGTAATCTCCAGCTTGGGCAATTCTCTTGAATGTTGTTTTACAATCCTTGCCCTTCTTTGAGACTTTACAGACTCCAATTTTATAGCTAACTACTTCGATAGGTTCATTACACTCGATAATACCACTAAAATTACAAATTCGGAGAATATATTTATATACAAACTATTGTAAATGACATTTCCATAATCTTAAATAGAACGATGATTATTTGATTCTCACGCACTTAATTCTCGCATTCTCGTAGTTTACATTCAATTCTGGTGACATTACAATAATTAAATAATGTTAATGTTAAAAGAAAAATGTAGGCGATTCACATAGTGCTTACTCTGGAAAGTGACCTTCCACACAGCAAACATATTCCTTTTGAACCTGTCGATTTCGTATCTGTTGCTCCATTTGACGTGCTTTTTCCGAATTGCGGCCAAATAAAAGTAAGCCGGAGGTTAACCGATCTAACCGATGTATGGTACGCAGATTCTTCAAATTGTACTCTTTGGCAAGTATAAATATCACCGTATTATGTCTGTAGCGACCACATGGATGTACCTAAATACAGAAATACATATACATATATATAAATCTATGTTCATAAGTGTTTACTTACTGGTATAGAAGCAGGTTTGTTCACTACTAAAATGTCATCGTCTATATGCACTATGGAAATTGGCTGCGCAGTAACTGGCACTTCATGTCTGTGGTATTGATGGATGAAATTGGGTTTATTCTATATACAATATA